TCATTAAATTTATCATCATCAAAAGTTTTGTTGTTTAATTGTTGTGTGCGACCATGCTTGAAAATTATATAATTGCATTTTTCTAGATTAAAGCTAATTGACTAAGCATCAGTAAAGACAACTACTCTATCGATGTTGGTTCGTAATTGCTGCAGGTCAGAGGGCTCTTTTATATTCGCAATATTTTTGGTGTCGTCAGCATAAAGTTTGCAATGGTGATTGAGCAGACAAGTCGGATTATTACTAAAAATGAGGAACAGTAATGGTCCAATACATGAACCCAGAAGTACCATTGAGAACGTTCAACCAGTCGGATTCTGAATTTTTTATAACTCGTTGTTTTCGATTTGATAGAGTGCATTTATCCACTGGCAGATATATTCGTCAAAACCATACGCACGAACCTTTTTAAGAAGTAGCGAGTAACTAACTTTACTAAACGCTTTGGCAAAGTCAAGCAAAACTAAAACCACGTCATAACATGATTCTATAGCGATGGTAAATAAACAAGATTTACCAGGTGTAAAGCCATGTTGGTTTGCGTCAAGAAGGTTTTTCAAAAGTAAATGTTTAAGCATTGCATTTCTAACAAGTTATTCCATCAATTTGCATAGAACAGATGTAATTGAGATTGGGTAGTAGTTTTCAGGATTAGTTTTTTGACCTTTTTTGTAGATAAGTGTAATATTAGTTAACTTCCAGCTATTTGGAATTGAACTTGAGCAAAAAGATTTGCAAAAAATAATCGAAATTGGAGTTGAAATTGAAGTGTGCATTTCATTTAACATATGAGAATGAAAATTATCAATCCCTGCTGGTTTAAATTTGTTAAGTGCTTTTAATTGATTTTGTATTGATGCTTTTGAAAAGATGTTTTCGTTAATATTTGCGTAAATGGTCAAAAGATGATAAAATCTTTTGAAAACACAGAAAAAAATTGCTTATTTAAAATATTTGACATTTCTACTCGATCCGTGGTTATATTTCCAGAATGGTAATTAAGAGTGTGAAGGTGTTCTCTGGTTGATTCTTGTTAATATGCGAATAGAGCAGCTTAGGATCCGACATTTTGCAGCCAATTTTGCTTCGTATTCTTTAAAAGCTTTAATTAGAAGTGATTTTACGCGACGAGAAGCTTTATTGAATGCTGATTTAAGAAATGGTTTGACAGTTTGCGGAGCAGCACGAAGACGAGTAAATGCTCAAAATTTATCTTTTGTTGCTTTCTTATTTTCACGATTGAATTATATTAAATTAGATTTTTTCTTTCGGTAAACAGGTAAACAGGCACAGATTCATCCATAACTATATGGTAATGATATTGCTATATTTGGTAGCACTCTTCGACGTTTATATCTTTATAAACCGTTTTCCAATTTTGTCTGAGAAAGTAGGAGTTTATGCCATTGAAGTTAGCTTTGTTAAAATCTGTTCTAACCGTAGTTCTGGTCTTCTCTGCGTTGACGGCAAGTATTAGATCCCATGTTATTGTCGAATTAAGTTTACTTTTCAAAGTGTGATCAAGTGGAGGTTGTACTGAAATATTGAGAAGACTACATGGGTTGCCTGTAAAAACTAGATCAAGAAAATTACTACCAAAAGATGATTCATGGATAAGCTGAGTTAACAAAATAGAAGTCTTTGTTTTTGAATTAAATAGCAATCAATACTGT